ACACACACACACACAAACAAACACAAACACACACACAAACACAAACACACACACAAAAAAAAAAAAAAGAAAAGGCATGTGGTCAACAACGTCCTCCTCACATGTGTGCACACAAACATTCCAGTATGCCCTTGCTTCCAACACCCTCTGCAGACTGATCTGCAGCTGCAAAGCAATGAACAACCACTATGCATTTGGTGGATGGCTTCCCTCGGTCCTCTGGTGAGGTTCTTTGAGAGTTGTCATGACCTGAATAAACCCAGACAAGCTTTTCTTGTCTTTTGGTGCATTTCGGGTTTCGGGATCCTCATAATCAGAGAGACATGTTTTCAGGTGCTGTTGGTTTATCAAAAAAACAGGACTAATCTCTCTCTGATCAGATGCGCTGGGAGGCAATTTCCTCAACCCATTATTTTGCCCCCTCCATCACAAGATTCTGAATCACATATTTAGCCATACGCAACCTGGTTTGAGAAAATTTGATGCAGTCCTGTTACTCCATTACTTCCCTCCCCTCTTCCCCCCCTCCCTCCCCTCTTAAAACCAGCACTACCTCCGAGCCTCTTTTTGCCGAGGCGGAGTAGAACTACGTGCCAAGCTTTGCTGAAGCACCAGCGCAACCTTTTTGCTTTTGTTTTGGATGGCGGTGCCAGCCATTTTGGTCCGGTGGCGCCCACCCTCCGGAGAATGCGGTGTAGGTTATATTTTCGATTTAGATTTTAACTGTGAAAGGTAGTGAAGGTTAACATCTTTGAGGAGGCACCGTTACTCCATTCTTGTCAAACCAGGCAATCAAACATCACCTGAACAGAGGCTCATGGTCGGTGCAGTAACGAGTTTCAGATACACCACCCTGCCAAGCCAATGCCACGACAAAACACAAGCCAACACCAATTCCAGCAAACCAGTGGTGAGACGGTACGCAAGGGAGCTCCACTGACATCAAACTCTATGATCATTATCATCATCATCATCATCATCATCATCATCATTGATCATCAGCAACACCATAATTAATGCTGTCATCATCTTCTAAATCATCATCACCACCATCCTCATCATCATCTTCATCATAAGCATTACGATCTTGTATTCTTTATATCCTCTTTCTCCTCCCCCTCCCTCCTCAATCACTAACATTGGCGGAACTCCAAGCCCTAAACCCTAAACCCCTAAACAAGGTTTAGGGCTTAGGGTTTAGGGAATAGTCATCCTGCGAGAACCAGATCATTAACCATGCACCAAACACATCTTCGTGGTAGGCGGTATACATGATGTACCTCTGTTTTCCTGGATTCAGGCACAACAGCGAACCCTGCCTTCATATGTTTTGTGCAAGCATGGTAGTGCAAAAATCAGGGCCCTAACAATCAACCAACCCTGTCCCCACACTTTCTCTACACTTCTCTGATTTTCACCCACTTGATGAACTGCTCATATATGTGCTCATTTCTCAAACCTGTTTGGAGTTTTGCGGATATGTCCACCATTCCCGCAGGTCCGCAGGAGGATGGGAGATGGGGCCTATATGCACCATAAAGCTTAGGTACTGCTGTACGTGCTCATCTCGGAGGGCACAGTCGAACTTTGTGGAAAGTATCTGACTGCAACTACGGCCAGATTCTGTGGAAAACTGGGAAGTAATTATGACTATGGCCAAGTGTTTCCTGTTTGGCATCTTATTGAATCAGGAGTGCCCGATAACGATGAGGAGGCAATCGCCAGGGAATCTTTTCTCTTTTTCAAAGAGGGTTACCCCATAAATTTCTTGTGTTTTTCCAATTCCATCTGGATTCCAAGTCGTGTTCTGTTGACGAAAAGTTTTATGTGTGCACCATTCAGCTACGTGCACTGTAGTCATGCCATATTTTCAGGGGAAAACAGTAGGATCGTGCCTACTTCGCACAAATATAGAACCTACAAAGCACCACCAGAGCCTGGCCCTAAGAACCAGGTCCCACTGATTCTATGTTCCTGCTTCGAGAACATAATCTTGGTCTCAAAAGCGGCCAGGTTCATCCTTTTTAGCATGAAATTTGCACTAGTGGTACCTGGCCCTTGCACTAGTGGTGCCAGACCCTAAGGCACCACTGGCCTTGCCCACCATGCATATATTTTATGCAGATCAAGCGGCCTAGCTCAGTTGGCTAGGCACGCAAGTGGTATTCAGGAGGTCGTGGGTTCAATCCCCACTGACCGGCTGGGCACGCTCAGTGCCAACCAACTGAGATAGTTGGCTTGCTCCACCAGGTTGGTATTGGTAGGCTTTGGCCGTCACGTGTGTGTGTGTGCGTGTGTGTGTGTGTGTGTGTGTGTGTGTGTGTGTGTGTATGTGTGTGTGTGGAGTCATGTGTGGCGCATGAGTGATGGCCATAGGCACTGCTGTTACTCGATGGGGCCGGGGGAAGTAGACGGGAGGTGCAGCTACTGGCAATATGCTCCATCTTTGCGTTAGCCAAACCACCCCCCCCCCCCCAACTGAGATAGTTGGCTTGCTCCACCAGGTTGGTATTGGTAGGCTTTGGCCGTCACGGGTGTGTGTGTGTGTGT